CAACTGCTTGCAGAGTCTCTTGTGAGCTCTTGCTACGTCAGTAGAGTTCTCCAATCCAGTCCGTCGTTGTGTTGTCGACCATACCACATAGACAAGGTCCCCGATAGAGTCATGTTATCCTACTGACAGTTTAAGATTTGTTTGATGCCGCTATCTGTGCCCTTCAGGGTCCGAAGTGAAATACGATGATTGCAAAGTGATCAGCCTCTCTTATATACATGACCTGTAAAATTAACTTCCAAGCTGGCCCAGGACAGCGGCTTGCTGTTAAGTTTTTCAGCAGATGGCCAGGTTCTCTTCACAAGTGTGAGTGATGCACGAGACTGTACGGAATTCGAACATCCCCTCGCCGTGCTTGACTTTGAATTTTTAAAATATCTTGAAGAGATTGCAGAAAATTTAATTATTGTGCGGTCTCGTCATTGAGCATTTAAACGATTTAAGCCCTACAAAAGCGTGGTTTCTTGACATGCTTATGTAAACATTCAGTTAAACTTATGTAACCACTTGCACAAAATCATTAAATTTGACGCTTTGATTATTCAGTAAGTACTTGCGTAGATGAGGAACGTCCTGCGTACAGGTGAAGTATTACATAATTTTTTAAACCTATTGGGTCAGAGGACCCGTAGTCCATTTTTTAAACTTTTAGCATAACTTCATTTGGCAGAGGTAATTAATGCCTGCAGGGTGTGGTCCAGTCTATTTTTCGACACACTTTCTTTAGCTTTCACGCATTTTCCGGACCTTTCTTCTCTGCAGCTGTTTGTTATAACCCAGTTGCTGAATAAAAGGTAGGTCGAAGTGCACCAATTTTTTTTGCAGTACAGAAATACTGGATAACTTTCTAGGCCAACAGCTGGCGACGAATAATGACAGTCGTAAGATCCAGTGACTATTAAACACTTGCTAAAACACCACGTGTAAAGTAGTCGTTCGTAGCTGGGAGCGCGACTTCTGACATTTTTAATTCATCTGTTTGTGTCAGCACCATGAGCGACAGAAAAAACTGATATAACTAGCACGCCAATTATACGAAAGTTTTTTTTATGTATGACAATGAAAAGAGGAACATTTGTGTCCAATTTTGTGTTCTATCTTGACTCAAATTTAGGCCTATAAAAGTTCCTTTTGATCCAAGAAATTCGGTTAAACATATAGACACAATGGCTCAGGTCAGTTTATGGTTTAGCGAAGAAGACAGGATGTAAACGGCAGACTTGAAAGAATGACGTATTTGACCCTAAAGGCGGCCTTGGGATTTAGAAACTTTCCAAAATTAAGACAGTTCGAAGAAAAAGATAGTCATTCCAAGTTAGAATATCTGGGGCGATAGTGGAACGTTAGCTAAAAAGGCAAGGGTGGGAGATTCTTAGCACTTGCTTCCATATATGGCCCGCTTTGAGGGCTTTAAAAAGGTTTTCGAAAGTGATTTGCTGACGGACTCTAGACCCTCAGATTTATTGTCTTCAGGAGACTAAAAATAAGTGCAATTTCCAGAGTGTATTATATCACTGATAGCGCAATTTGCATTTCGAACATAGCATGTCATTTTTAAATTTGTTATTTATTGAAAAGCTACCATATGTAATTCGTATCTAAATGTTTACGTAAACAACAGTCTTCGGGAAAAGTGTGCCATTACAAGTTCTTCTTTCGCATACCGTTCTTACTCAAAGCAACCTCTGATCTTTTGTCCGCCAGAAATAGCTTCAGCAGTTTTCGAGAAATCACCTGGATACAGTTTTAAGGTCGAAGTTCTTTAAAGAAGAAACGAGGATGAAGTGCTTGATCATTTTTTATATTACAACAGCCTAAGCATAAAAACCCTACTGGGCGTACATATTCTTTCTAATAACACAGGGGCAAACGTCGAAATTTGGTCTGCAGGAGATCAGAGATACCGTGTGAAAAGCACTATCGAACTCGGCAGCTCTGTCACACGTAGTTCTTTCAATGAGTGCCCTCGTGAACTAGGGGAAGGGAGAGAAAAATATGATTTATTTTGAAAGTACTATTTCAAAATTTTAAGCAAAAACGTCCTCAATTCATCGTGGGCATTGGTGATCCCTTGATCATGATAAAAGGGGATGGTTGTTTGCCGCGTCAAACGGGTTCGTAAGTTGCAAGCAAAAACGTTGTAAACAATAATTTAATGTTTGAACGTTTTATTTTCCTCGGAAATTGGTGCTCTGCTTTCGAGGAAGTCGTTCGGGAGAAATCTTTTCAGAATGGGTCCGAAAGTCAGTACAATGAGATAGTCGTGTAATATTCATAGGCTGCCAGCATGTGGTCAGTAGTAAAAAAATTTTTCATGATTCAATGTACTAGCGGCTCAGGCACTAGGTAAAAGTCCAGCCACCTGTTTCATCGGTATTTCTGTCACTGCGTGACACAACTGCGAGGAGTCTGGGCTTTGCAATGAGTTCCCAAACGTTCCCTATGTGCTTTCTGGTACATAATCCAGCTATCAAATTCACTTCAGCAGTTACAGCGGATTTATTGATACATAGAAGAGGATTCCCTTTTGGGACGTACAAGGGCGTAATTAGCTTGAGCAATGTTTGCGTCTCACTTGCGTTTTCGTTTAAAATGCCACCAGTCCTTTTCTATTTATCATTAACATAAACTAGTTTTAAATGCGGATGCGGTTAAATTAAATTTCTTTATTTTTATTGACCTAGTGCTGTGGTTATGCGGAACATTTTACATGAATGCGTCAGCAACAAAAAAACCAGATGTTATTTTATTAAGTTGCGTCGCACATTAGCAGTTCCAGCTAGAGGAAATAACATGAAGATACCGTTATAATTGTCCAATGAGAGCGTTTTTATCATTTGTTACAGGAGAGCCAAAATTTACATCGTGCGATTGCTATCGTTAATTTTGCTTTGAGCAACTAAGGAGCAAAAGGTTTTCAAGAACATAAGTAGTCTGGAAATGTATGGTGAGTGTTCTATTGTTTGTTTAAAACAGGCATGAAAATTAGACAATTCCTTTGATTCAGAGTCACTGATTCTTTTTGTGTGCGTATCGTTTGATCCCTCGATTACAGTTTGTGAACGAAAATTCCAAAAGCAATTTCAAGGTGTTCTGTTGTCACCCCTCCTTGTCTCTAAGGATCGTTTGTGATCTGGGTACACTCGCGGGGTAGCACCTCTCCGCGAGGTCACAAATGACAAGTACTTATTTCATTTAAACAGGAGACCACCAGCACACCACCTAAGAGGTAACGACTCGCCACTTGTACTTTGTTTTGACACTGTTAATGCCGCTCTAGAAACTTTTCGATCGAGACTTGTTAGCATCCTAAAACTCTTCAGGATAATCTCAGTTGGGTAAATAGGTACTTTGGAAGAAAGCACATTCCCAGATATTCGAGAATAAGACTCTTGCTGACCCTTTGACTAGGGGATTTATGCGCCAAAACACCCGAGAGCGCAGCAGGTTTTGATTTTTGGAAGATTGCCATTCTTCCTGAATACCGGAGGAGGTGACCGATATAAACGCTTTGTTCTTACAAGCAAATGAGAGGCGATATCTAGATAAAGATAGCAGTAATAAAGAAGACGGCCTGGCATATAATTAGAGAAATGACTTCACATGACGGTGAAAGTCAACTGCCGGTATCTATAGTGTTGGTCTCAGTCAGCATAAAAACCGTCGACGCAGGCAAGCGACAATCAAAGAGCAAAGGTGGAGTTTATTAACCACATATCAAATCAAGTTCTCAGTCACCCATTACATAAAAACATAAAATTTGGGAACGAAAGGCTGCAGAATGAAGGTGTAAAGGAGTGAACGCTAGTATACTTGAAAGGGTAAGACACGGATATGATTATCCACCGTATGCCAGGTGCTTTGCGCTAAAGTCAAGGCGGCACCTCCTGTGTTCTAACAACAGGTCGACCGTCGACTCCGACCATACTCATACCAGCAGGATGAGCGCAGGGATGGTGACTTGCGCGTGAAATAGTTTATAGTGATAGTGAGCTTGGACTGCATCTCCCGTGCTTTCTCTTACCTCAACAATCTCAGCCCGGTGTTATGGCAGAGTCAAAAAGACCGGAACATGGGAGGGCGGATGTGGCTGGCTTGACAAGTGCCTGCATCTAAGTGTGTCACCACACCCCTGGGCTCGTAACTTGCATTGAGCAGGACTTTAAGCAACAAAAGAAGAGGGAGGGGGCGTCTCGGACCCCACTATGTGGGAGTGCCATGGAGGCACATTAAGAAGGAGCCATTGCAGTCTGTCTCTCAGTCCACGGGTCAGTCACTCAACTCACAAACTCACAAGCGAGGTGACCGCGCGGTATGAGTTGAAGCGTCACTTGGCAACATTCCAAACCACGGCTTTTTGCGCGCCGTTCATCCCAGGCGCGTCAGCTGGTTACAATGAGGAATTGTGCGCCGAAACTGTCGATCTCATTATCCTTCCGTAACTGGTGCACCAGTCGACTGTCCGCGTCAACCGACCAACTGATTCTAAGATTGGGAGAGCTCCCTGACAGAGCCGAGAAGGGGTCGTCTGCGTGTGCCACACACACGACCTGGTCCCCCATACGCACACATCAGGGTTTCATACAGAAGGGTTTGACAGCTCGGATATCACATGCAAAAGAAGGGCCACATGGAGAAAGGAGCCGAAAAATGCACTTCATACTTACGTACGAGTGTCGGGGTGTGGGGTATTGTAAGTGTTCACGTGTGATGATGTGGTCATGTCTGCGGCGATTTGCGGCAGGTTTTCGTGAATACGCTTGTGACCGAATAGGCCCATGCGATGGCTGAATGTGCGAAAACAATGCGGGCAATTGATGCGATGGCGTCTGTTGTATGTTAGTGCTGCAGGCACTGGTTCCTCGGTCTCTTTGTGACGAATTTGCAGGTGACCTACCAAGCCGATGCGTGAGGTGAATCTGAGACCGCGCTGAGGACAGTTTAGGACCGCGTCGTCATCGCTAACCGTGATGGTGGTGGTTGGCTGGCCGTCGAGAGCGTTATAGTCGGTGGAGGGAGTGAAAGCTGTGGTGGTGGTGGTATCGTCGTCGCAAGTGTCGTCGCAGGGAAGATGGGGTTGGTGGCGATAGACGGCAGTGGGGTACAGGATACTGGGCTTTGGCGACGAGGGCAGTCATCGTAGAGGATGCGGTGAGAGTTGAAGCAGGGGCGAACAGAGGGGCAATAGTTGGGGTTGTCTGACTGGTGCATTGAGTCAGAAGATGTCCGACGACGCCAGTCGAAGCGGGATGTTCGTCGACAGCGCGTGCATGTTGGGAGGGGTTGGAGGACGGCTTTGCGAGCCAGGAGCGTCTTAGACTTGTGAGCTTTACTTTTGGCTTCGACAGCGGCAATCCTGGTGGCACACTGGCGACGAAGATGTCCAAGCTCCGTTGCATATTAGCATCTGTCACTGACGTTTCGAGTAGGAATCCGAAACGTCAGGCTAATAAAGCTCTTGTCCCGGCGATCGTGTCTCCTTCTTCAAAATTACTTCCTGGGACTCGGCTCTTCGCTTCTTTCTGTCACTGTGTTGGGCGTGCAGTCATCCGCGAGGAGCAGGTCATGGATAGCAGTCGTGGAGAGACACGTGGAGACCTGCAGGCAACGACTGCTCGTCGGTCCTGTAGGCGATGCGGATCCCCGCGTGCTCATTAGCATAGCAGAAAACGGGCCTGAAGAAGGTTGGGGCGAGTTCACAGGCGTCGGTTACTGCAAATACGTCTGAGCCTATTTTGTCGTTCATGACGCACGCCATCACTCATCGTGGGGCCGACGCACCATTTGCCTGAATTGCTCAGGACGGTCGAATTTCTGCATGATTTTCAACAGTCAATTGCGATGGACATACATACGCATACATATGTACATAAGATATTTTGATGACCATATTCGGAGTAGAAAAATCTATAATGTTTCAGTCCATTCTGTGGTGTCCTTCGCGGCTTCAGTTTCACGGTTCTTGACAAACGCGAATGTAGGGCACGCCGTTCAGAAGGGATTAGGAGCGCTGTTATGGATACAGTAAAGGAGAGTCCCGTTATGAGGGGCCGATGACGGTTAGGGAAAAAGCAACAGGAGAGATAACTTCATAAATCGCGGTCGGCTGCGAACGCACCGACCTCATTGTGAACGTGCCGTCCGTCATTAACTTCTTCCTCGTTGCTTGGGCCAATGTGAACTTCCGGACCGCATAGTCACTAGCCGTGCCACTCCCTCGAAAGAAGCTAAAACTTAATTTAACGCCAACGAGCCGGCGCTTATCCCAGGGAATACGGCAACACCTCCCGGCATGGCTGGGAAAAGGCGAAACTAGGAGCATAAGCAGCGCCATTCTCGCGCATGTGGTCGACTCCGGACATCATGTAGACCCCAATAAAGCGTTTAGTGTGATCTGCAGCGCTTTTGAATGACTATTCGTCTCGCGACAGATCGCTTGATGGGCTTGATCCGCGTCCACATCACGACTCAATTTCAGTCAACTGTGACAGGATAAAACCGGAAATGGTCCCTGTTTTACTTCGCATTCAAGAATTCATCTAGTATAAAAACATTATATTTTTGGCGCCTCTGCAAGAACAGTGTTGTTTTAAAAGACAACCAAAACTCACCCTATGGTAGCCTTAATCAAAATCAGAGAGTGAGTAATTCTCATTTTCCGAATGTACTACTTATGGCTCACTTAGGGGAGAGGATCTCACAAAAAAGCAGGACAGTTTGCAAATAGTCGCAGCTTCCCAAAGCGAATGATCAGTGCTGTTCATCTTTTAGTCGTCAGTACAAGCAGAATCGTCTCTTTCAGTGCACTGAGAAAAGAGCTGGCAAAAATATATTCTTTGTGCACTCGGGCACTTTCTACTTGTTGAATTAGACATGTTTTCTTACTTCCTGCTTAAATCCGAACTAAAATGGGCTTCACGCCACCGGCCCCTGCAAGCGTGACGACCATCTTGGCAGGGTATCTTCTCTCCTCCCCCCCTATGGATGGGAATTCACAATAATAGGATCTCTTTATGTCTCCATCACGCCAATTTAATTGTTTGCGCAGCACTATTTGTCTGGTGATTGATTACAGAAAACAGCCCCGCGCCAACATGTCTTATTGTCAATAAATGTGAACCGTTGCTGATGTAGGATAATACAAAAAGCAAGTTGCTCCTTGCGCATGCAAACGACTTCCCCTTTACAGGCAGGTTTTCAGCCAGACTTTGCTTTTACATTTCGCCTTATTCAGGAGGCTTCGAATTTTTTGTGTTTTGCCATTGGACTAATAGGTGGAAAGGCTACCATCGTGAAGTCTACAGACGCCAGTGTCAAAGAAAGCACTGTGGCGAAATCCCTCGGATCGGATGGCGGACTCCTCGCACTCCCTGATCAGATCTCGTTCTTCGACAGTTAGTCGCAGCCAGAACGATATATCTCGTCTGGGAAGTCACCCTGCTGTTCCGTCGGCTTGTCTGCCGCGTCGTAGCACTAAACGTCTCCAACGATCAGACCTCGACCTAACTCTCTCCAGACATAGGAAGCTCCAGCGGTCTATGAGCGACATGCGCGAGGTGCAATCTCAAGTTTCCATGGTGGAACCACTGTAAGTTTTCCCAGTGCCGTTTATGAGGTCGAACTTCGAACTCTCCCCATATTTTCGGCAAACCGTCATTTTTGCTGGTTATCTGCACTGCATACACGCAAGGGATGTGTATGAAAAAGCCTTGTTGGAGATCGTATTAGTGAAACGTTCTCAGCAGCTGTGGCTTCATCTTACGTTGAGTGATTTATTACAGAACTTCGACGTAAAGTGAACCACAGTATGTTCATCCGCAGTGTCAGTGCGTTCGAGCCATTCCCAGCCATCGAAAAAGTTGCCAGTATTTGTCTGTTTTATTATTTTGTGTTTCTTTTCACTGCCATGGATTTCCGCTCCGTCGCTTGTTCGGGGTGTTCATGTATTGGGTTTGTGGGAGTTTCCGCTGGCGGTTCATCCCCGATCGCATTCCGCCCTCATCTTCAGAGCCCTTCTGACAGATTAAGGCGTTCGGAATGGCAGCTACTTATGACCCTGTTCTTCACTCAAGAATTTGTTGAGTTTTGATACTCCCGCAGCTCATTAGATAACGAGAAGTCATTACCAGCCGAAATTTAATTCGCCAATGTCGAACAGAAACTCGTCGAATTTTCATGAGACATATACCCCACTGAGATTGGCAACTCAACCTGTTTCCAAAACCTGCTATTGTTACAATCTGTAGAGGAAAACGAGGAGGAATATTTTCAAGGTTAAAAAAGCAGGTTCTAGATTTGCAAACTTTCCCAGCGGCAAGGGTTCAAGTATCCTTCTCTACTAACCCTATTTTACGCGGAGAAGGTAAGGATAAGTTGCCACCCCAGACCACTTCAATGTGCATCTATTCCTTCACTTGTTCCTGTTGAGCAGGTTGTATTGGTCGCACGAGTCGGCGCTTATCCAAGAGAATACGGGAACACCTCCCGGCATGGCTGGGAAAAGGCGAAACTAGGAGCATTATCAGCGCCATCCTCGCGCATGTGGTTGACTCCGGACATCATGCAGACCCCAATGAAGCTTTTCGTGTGATCTATAAGGTCCCATCGAGCTATCCTAAACCACCGGGACAGCGCACGCCAGCAACAGCAGAGGCGGCCGCCATCAGGTTGCGAAAACCAATCTTGTGCGCACAAAAGAACCACCTT